TCTCGGTCGTTGCGAAAATTGGTAAAAGAAAAGAGATTGCAACTAGTAGATTGCTGCTAAAACGCCTGAAATCAAAAGAGCCTCGGCTGCCACTTTCAATTTATATTTATTAAATGGAGCTTGAAATATATGGAAAATTGAAACTACACTTCCACATTGCAAAAAACTGATCCCAGGAGACTGCTGCTACTTTAAATTTCGGCTTCAATTTTTCATGAAATTCACTTCGAGTGTCAGCTTTCAACTTGAAATTTATTTTACGGCTTAATTTGGGCTGGCGTTTTATTAATTTCACTCGATATAATTATGATCATTATAGTTTGATTTGATTAAGTAAATGCCAATAATAATGATAATAAGATTTTTAGTCATCAGACTATTATTTCCTCAAGATTAAAATTGAAACCGGTCTTTGGGGTTATTTTTCCTTTTTATTTTTTAAATCAAGCTTGATACAATATTTTCTTATATAATTATATAAACATGGTTATTTGTTAAGAGAGAAAAAATAAAACCACCTCATCTTGAGATTATTCTTCGCTTGTAAGGGAACGGCTCAAATTTCATCGTTTCGAAGCATCTCCGAGCAGCATCTCGAGCGTCAAGGTGCTGTTGGTAATCGATGTAAAAATTCAAAGCTGCCAGAGCAAAAGCAAGCAGCGTGTGTGTTTGTCGAGGAAGGTGTACAAACAGAGAGCACCACATTTGCATACACTTTCTGTCCGCACCTGCTGATGTTTATGTACTCGAGACGGCGCGCGATTCTCTCACACCCTCAGTATCCATCTCTCAGGTGGTGTGTGGGGGTGATGCGGAAAAAGAGTTCTTTCACGCATTTACTCGCGCACATACATTTATGCATGCACCTGGGCGAGCCAGCATAGGCAATAAGAATCTCTCTCAGTAATGCATGTATATGTCTGTGAGAGTGCTATGTGCGCAAAAAACGAGATACCTGCCACAGTGCCGTGGGGTTATTTCCGCACCGTCCTCGGGGATTTGCGAGCCGTCGGTGGTAAATGGCCTGGAAAAAATGAATTGCCGCCGCGGCTGTGACAAAAATTATGTTCCAGCTGGGCAAAGCCGAGCGAGCTCGAAATAGAGCGTTTAGTTTTCCTCGGCTGATTTAAAAAACGCTTCCTGTAGCTTAAAAGCTTCAAACTTTTGCACGCGGTAAAACTAATCCGTCTATGTCATCGTATTGAGGAAACTTTTGACAAAATTTCTGTCCGAAAAAGTGAGTGATGAGAATTAGGTTAAATTTACTTCAATTTATTCACATGTCAATTGAACTTAAAAAAAAAATTCTTATTGTTAGTAAAAAATATACAATTCTTGGGGAAATTATTTAATATAATATTTCATATCTTTAATGAAATTTAGGTATTTTTTTTATTATATAAAAAAAAATGATATACGGCAAAATCACGTTTTCTTTTAAAATTCCACCGCTCAAGTATGTATTCATGAGAAAAAAATACACAATTTGGTAATAAAAATTGGATAATTTTGTATTATTTAACTCATTAAATAGGGCTTTTAAATAACAACGCAACTTTCAAAAAATGCAATACCGTAATTGGCTCTTAGAGTACCAATTTCATTATAAATTTCATCACAATTATTGAATTTAATTGAAAATAAATCACTTTTTTTATCAAATTCAGTTAAATTTTTTGATTTAATTATTTTTTTAATTTCGTTCAATTTGAAAAAACCTCATTCCGGGGGACAACGAGGGAGGCAATCGATCAACGCGTGGCACAAGCAATCGCATTCAAGTCATAATGCAGGCGTACAACAACAATAAGATCATCATTTACCATTTTTTCCACGCACGCGGAAAACAAACACATCTCAAGCTGCCAGCGCTGTGCTCGCAGTGGCAGAAACGAGATGATTTATTAAGCGTCAGCATCTGCAAAGCAATAAAACAGTCGACTTTGTCATCCGCCGCCCCACTGGCTGACTGACTGGAAAACACCCTCCACGCCGCTTATTGGAAAATCAATTTAGCCCGCCGGCCCCGTGTGCTGAACACCCTGCCCGCGAGTGATGCACTGGGCGGAGGAATTGGAAATTGGAATTCTTGCATTTATGAACGGCGGCGGCTCGCTCAACCTAAGCTACTGGATAATCACATTACATGCGCAGCTCCGTTTTGCAAAATGCACTTTTCTTGTGCACGCCCGATTGCTGGAAATGAGCTTCAATGCTCACTTTTGCATTGTGTCAAGCGTTAATCCCTTAATCCCCTTGGCATTTTGTTCTCAAGTAGCTAATTTGATCGCAAGTCTTGATTCCACATATTCATAAATTTCAATTTACATTTTCTTTTCAGTTTCTTAATAACCTGTCTGACCTTTTGTGAGAGAATTAACGAATTGAATTGAATTTCAAAAGGAGTCTTTTTATTCATTAAAATTTGCGGTTGATAAACTCTCTTTTTAAGAAAACACTCCTATTAACTCGTAAAATAATTATGTATTATCATTAATGCAAATCTTTTATTGTTTTATGGCGTGCACTCGGACGTAATTTCACCAATTTACAATTGATTTGAGGAAAATTGAAATAGAAGTTAAAGAAATACAAACGTATTATGAATTTTACAAGTTTGTCAGATTATCAATAGATTCCTGTTCTGAATAAAATTTATTATTTATTAATTTTTCTTGGTGTGGATAACAAAAAATTTTGAATTTGAAAATGAGAAGAAAACTAGCAGATTTCTATGCTAAAATGTCAAAACAGACTCGGCCGCGGCAGTAAATGCGCCAGCTATTTTTTTGAAGCAAAGAGACAAATCTACTGTACTTTGGCTGAACTCGCATGATACTCCACTGGCAATTGATTATACAGACGAGAAATACAAGTTAGAGGGTTCTGCATTGAAAAAGAAGCAGTATTTGCAAATATTCAGTTCAATTAAATATAATACACGTTTGTCCTCTGAGGTGCAGATGAGACGGAGTTCACCGACAGAGTCACTTTGCAACGGGATTGGGTTATCGATTTGTCCTCTTCTCTCTGTTTGATGGAGGCAAACTCGCGTAAAATTGTTTTCGCAACAATCCTGCCGCTCTCTGATCCGCGTGCTTTCAGAGTTATAATAACTTGGAACTCGGCAGCGCGCGACAATGGCGGCAAACCGTCAGCAGTCTTGCGAAAAATGATTGATCGAGTGCTTTTTACTTTTCTCTCTTTGTGCTGCCGAATATGTGCGAGTGCGTTTTTATGTCTCTGGTGTTGAGTAGCAAAGAAGGAGAAAAGATATTCTTTTATTAGTACGAGTGTGTTACATAATCAAGAATCAAGCGTTTGGCCAGGTTAGGATATTTTGAAGTTTTTTTAGCTTTTCAAAATCTGTCATTTTTATTTTAATAATTTTCTCTGCCTGAATTAATGCTGAAATAAAAGAGAAAATTTTTTTTGGCTCTAGGTATCATGAATTAAAATCACTTTTTATTTTCAACCATACATGGTCTTCAGTTTTAAAGTAAAGTTCCATAAGTTTATTAGTGAAGTAATTGTTATTTTCATTATTTAAATCAAACAAACAGGCCGTTTTAGTCAATCGCCTTGAAAGTAACTTAGATCTTGCTAAAAATTTTGTACGCATAAAGTGCTAAACATATTTTTTCAATTTCAAAAAGTGTCCGACAAGATTATTCACGCGCAGTAGGTTAATCTAAAAATGCACACAGTCATGAGCTGCTGGTTTGTTTAGCCAGGCACTTCTTTATTGTTCTGAACAGCTGCGTTCTCTCTCGGTGGTGCTAATCTTTTGCCCGCCAGACCTAGCGAACGCGTGTTTCTGCAGAAAGTTTGCAAATATTTATTCGCGCAACATCATCATCCAGAGTCGGCCACCCGCGGCGCATTTAATCCGTTTAACACCAGCCTGTCTGAAAATCGGGCATCTGCTTTGGCTCCAAATTAGCAAATGCCCCCCTTCAACTTTTTAATGAGGCCCCTCTGCAGCAGCCGGAGGGTGGAACGGTTTTAATTAAAACCCACTCGGATATATACAATTGAATCCGTAATTACGGCTGCTTTCAGAATAACAGAACAGGCTAATGAATATTGAACTCCATGCCCAGCCGCAGCAGCGTGACCTGCGCTGAGCGGGCAAGGGCGCACACCTGCTGCAAAAACTTTCTAATGAATTCGTTAATGCTCTGACGTTGATTTCTGGGCACTGAATTGAATTTGATCAGATAACTTCACATTTGTTTCGCTTGTCAAAAAATCGACCGAGGAGAATAAATAAAAATAATAATCTCAATTTCAATTCAATTCAAAATTTTCTTTATTTTGTTTGTAGCATTTTTTTTTGTCGTTTGCAAATTAACACTTTTTAAAATAACATCAGATTCGTGGTGATTTGAATTTAAAGTCGGCTTTTTCTCGAGGGGATTTATGATTTTATTGTTTAAGAAAAACAATCCTGCTCTACATGTTTCATCTGCGGGCTGCAGCCATAATTCATGGGCTTTCTCGGCGGTGGTCAAGTTAAGATTCATTTAAACGGTAAAAAATTTGTTTAGGTCATGGAATTGGTGCTCTAGGACAAAATTTTTCACGTCCTTCACAAGATCCTTGACATTGTCAAAGGCAGAGCAGTAACAAATTTGGGATCATAAACTCAGGAGTTTGCTCGCAAACAGTCATATAAACACAGATTAGTCGGCTTCATTTGTTTGAACAGCAATTTTATTTGTCAGAATATATATTTATCCAAAGGCACAATTTAGTAGAAATGATGATTTATTCAATTAAAAATGAGATTCGATATTGACAATAAATGTAAGAACGAGAACGTTTCCCACTAAAAAATTTTATCATCCCCAAATTTCATTTTCTTTCATGCAGTTTATGATTAATGAATTTCCTGGGCCGTGAAATGAGAAACGCAGAGTTTAATCCCCTCCACAGAGATAAAAAAGTGTTGTATAAGAAGCGTCGCACTAACGTGGGTGAATAATTAATGTTGGCAGGTGCTGCTGCGGCTTGTCTCTCACGTCTCACCTTACGAGCAACAAGGCGCCCGAGCCCAGTGACAAGAGCAAAACAACTCCGCCACCGAAACCTGGCGAAGAGCTCGTGTGGTTGCCCACCAGGCACACGCAAGCCAAGCCATGTGACGCGTATGGCACCATCGAGTTCCAGGGAGGACCGCACCCCAGCAAAGCACAGGTAATTAAAATAGCAAAAACATTTCCCCAAACTTTGATCGTTTGTTAATGAGCAAAAAAGCTTGAATGAACGCTTTAAAAATTTTTTTTGCAAAGTTTTTTTAAATACATTCCAAGTAAGAATTTCTATCCATGTGAATAATTAATAAAAATGTTGCAAAAATTTTTAATTTTATTAATTCAAATTTCAAATTCAAGTCTATTTTGATGTAAGCTAACGTGCACAAAGTATCCAGCTTTTGCAAAACATGTCAATAAGGGAATAGTATCAATTTCTTGGAGCGAAGAGTTCGCTCATGTCATATAACTGTTTTTCCATCACATATAATTTCAATTTTTTTCAGTAACTCTTCATCACAATTACAACACTTTATGTAATTGTGTGTTGTAATTGTGATGAAGACGTACTGAAAAAAGTGAAATTTATATTGACAAAAAAAGGATAGTATGAAAGCTTAGTTTTTTTTTTTTGCTTATTAAATTTTATCAAAAATTTTTGAACTTGCTCATTTATGTTTTTTACATGAATATCTATAAAAAATTTTGGGGAAAGAACTTTTCTAAAAACAAAAGTTTTATCAAGGTTTTGTTATTAGTTTTTGTTTGCACAAAACAAACATGCGTGCGTTCCATTTAAAATCTCATTCGAACACTTTCGGTCGACGCTCTTTCATTTTCTCTCATTTCGCGTCGTCCGCGCATTAAAAATGAATATTTTAACCTCTCGTATTTCCACCGCAGTCACCTTTTCCACCAGCCACTTTCATTTCCCTGAAACGCGTCACCTCCCTCGGGAAAGCTAGTTTGGCGAGTGAAAAATTGAAAATCCATATACCTCAGCAGCGCTCACTTTGAAGTATTCCTCTCTTCGCCTTGTGTTTGGAATTCCAATTAAAACTTAGCCCTATGCGTCCCTCCAGCTCCTTTTTTCCTGTCGTCGCCGGCAGCAGAAATGATCATCTACATTTATTTATCGCGACGCAAAGCAAAAGTTTTCTTTTGTGATATGTTTTCACTCCAGCTTCTCCTTTAATCATGGAATGCCTTTTCGCAACTTAATAAAAAGTTGTGCGACTCGGTTTGTATTCATTTTATAGTAAGTTCCATTATATTTAAAAGAACTAATTGGATATTGGCGCATTCTTTTTAAACTTGTTGCCAAACTAGACCTAGGAATGTGTTACAGTAATTAACTGGTTATACCTGTGTAATTTCTCTGTTTGCTTTGCCTAGTCAAAAAAAGTAAAAAAAAAAATCTAAATAAATATTTAATTCAATTTTATTATTGTTCCGTTAAGACAAGAATATTTTATTATTATTATTATTTATTCTTCTCGGTCAATACAAAAAAATTCTAAATTGGAAAAAAAGATGACAACTAGCAGATTTCTGCAAAAACGCCCGATATCAAAAGAGACTCAGCCGCCGCGATAAACCCACACTATTAAAAAAAGAAAAATTTACGGTAGGCTTTGTAGGGCTCGAGAAATTGTCAAAACTGCACAATAGATAATCATGGATATTGATGGCTAAAATAGAATCAAATTAATAGAGCAGGATTGAATATTTTTCAAATATTTTCCCATTTTATTTACTAATCCAATTAATGAGTATATTTGTGCCTCTGAATGAATTTACTGGTTAACAAAATTTACCTTACAATCGCTTACAATAAACAATAAAGCCTACAGTTAAGAGTAGTCTATGGCCTCTCAACTTGCAGAACTAGCATCAGGTTTAGGCTGAACTAGCATACTTCAAACTAGCATCAAACACGCAAACATTCCAGACGCATCATATGCAAATTGAAATAGAGTAACTCGCGCTGCTCTGCCAGACTCTCACTTGCTGCTTTGTCGAGATGAATCACAGAACCACCTGTGGACTCCCTTACTTATCTCAAAGCATTCTGGGGATATATAATTTTTACGATTTGCAGACGTGGGAGGCACGAGTTGTAAATAAAACACTTGCAATCTTTTTCAGTACGTTCGGCTGGCGTATGACACAAGACCAGACCTCATTCTTCAGCTGTTCACCAGGGAGTGGGGCCTCGAGCTGCCCAAGCTGCTGCTCACCATCCAGGGTGGTAAGGCCAACTTTGAGCTGCAGGCCAAGTTGAAGAAGGTGTTGCGCAAGGGGCTGCTCAAGGCGGCCAAAACAACTGGAGCGTGGATTTTCACTGGCGGAACCAACACAGGTATGATTCATTAGTTAATTAATAATAGCCGATTAATTATAATTTTAAAATTAATTGTGTTGAAAATTGTGCATTGAATTAATGAAAAACACAATTAATCGGTTTGTGGTTGAGGTACAGACCAAAAATTGGTGACCAAAATTATCCTCTCAACGAGACCTTTTTAAGTACATATCACACATCCAGATCAGGTGACCTCAGGTCACCGACTTCGGTGACCTTTGACCTGAAGGTCACCAAATGCCATCAATATATACACCATTCGATTTGGCTTGACGTGGGCATTAACTTTTGTGATTATCACTTTTTACCTAAAATGATCAGGGACGACGTTAAAAGCGATCATAATGTTGACCCTGCCTGCGGAGGCACTAAAAACCACGTTTTTTAATATTCTTTTTTATTTTTAAATTTAACAAAGAAAAACGTCACTCCAGTTTTGACATATTTTATGTAAAATTTCATGAGGAATCGAATGGCAATCTCAAAATTTTTTTAAAACGTGCGGCCCATTTTCAAATTTGAATTTGAAAATTTGAGGTCATGAAAATTGACCTTGAACTTTGACCTACAACTTTTTACTCAACAGCAAACTTGTAGAAATCGTCAAGACAAATTCAACCATACCCGGATTTTTGTTCTACGATCAATAGAACGCGAGAAAATTAGGTTTTTTAATTTTTTCAAAATGTCCCATAAAACCCGCAATTTTGGAAATTTTTTCAAAAAAATTTAGGGGTGTTGCTTTTAAGTCATGGTTGTTATGCTGTGAAAATCTCAATCGGCTAACTTCAAATTTGGGCATGGGGTGTGAGAACAGAAAGAATCGCACTAACAAATTCAGCAAAATTGTGAATTTAATACAAATCTGCTTGCTCTGTATTTAAAAAAAACCTCTATCATCAAAGCAGATTTTGAACAATCATGTCATTTTAATGGTCAACGTTAATAACGCATAGTTTCTAGCTTATTTTATAGAATATATTAGACCACTTGATTATTATTCTTCTCGGCTAGTATTTTAAAATAAAATAAATTTAAATTTAATTTAAAATGAGTTACACAATGTAGAAACACATAAAAACAATCTGAAATATATCCGCATTTTCTCAACTTTGCCAAATATTTTCACAACAAGACTTCTTTCGAATAAATGAGGATTCAATTCAAATAAACTCGTGATCGTGAAAAATGCAAAATTTATGATAAATGGATAAAACTACAATTTTAGTGCGCACCTAAATTGCCTAAGGAAATATCATCAAGCTCTGAGCAAGGAAAACGTTTAAGTGAAAATTCAAGATTTTTCTTTCACATTGATATTCATGAGAATATCTAGCCTGCAGCTCTTTGAGAGAATTATTTTGGCCGGCAAAAGCTTCCTGGAAATATCTTGGCCACCGTTTGGCGTAAAGACGAGGAGCTTGTCGTTTTCTTGAATTTTACGACCAACGAGTAAGCAAAATTCGCATTAAAAGTGAAGTTTTATTCTTTTTTATCTATATAAAAATCCTATTCACTGTTCAAGTACTTTACGTAAACGCAAGCGGTTGCATTGAAGAGATTTTCACAGGCGTTTTGTTTGAGTTGGGAATAAATTTTCCCTCGTGAAAGCTCTTTTAAAGGGTTTTATTTCGCAATGAGCAGCAAAGTGTGCGAATCGCGTCTGGCTGGAATGGAAATGGGCCAATTGCAAAAGGCGCTCAAGCAAGTTGAACGAATGGTGCGAAGATTACAAAGTTTGCCGCTTCCATTCTTCTGTTTTGCCAGCGAGCGCGCAAATACGACTTTAATAGATTGGCCAGCAACGCAAAAATGAGTGAAACGTTTTGCCGTGAAATTAAATAGAGTAATTCTGCTGATAAATTCTCCTGTGAAATTTATTTTCGTCAAAGAAAACACTCTCAAACATGCTCAACCAGATAAGAGGATAATTATTTTCGACCCTTTTTAATTTTTGATTAACGACGAATGTAACGTCTACAAAAACCTTTCCCTAGTTTATAAATTTCTTAGAGACCGTGATGCAAAATTTTTTCGAAAATTGGCAAATTTATTAGGCTCAATGAATTCTGCAAATGGCTCAACCTCTCAAGACTCTTCGCAATTTATTGGGGCAAAATCAATTGCGAGAACGCACGTCTGCGAGTCTCTCCTTCAGTTTGTTGAGCGAATTATTTCCAGCCGCCCGAGCGCCTTAATAGATAGGAGTGCAATATTCAATCGCAAGACACGCACGACCCTTTTGTTAAGGCGATTATTTCCTTCGCTGCTCATTTTATATTTCGGCACGCAGATCGATCCGTCTCTCGCGATTGAAAAGTAGAATTTATCTCGCAAATTTGACTATATTCCTTCTCTCATTTGCAATAAATGGCAGTAGTTTTGCGTGTGAATTTTCAAAGGAGCTGGTTTTGCAACAAAGGAAACACCTCGAGGATATATTGCCTTTGCGGTGCGCGGGGAGACCCGCATTGCTCATAATTTCAGTTGTCCTAAATGTTCAAAAACTCATTTGTCCTAAAAATTTTCATCCTAAAATTTTTGTCCTAAAATTGTTTTTCATTTCTCCTAAATGCATTTGTCCGAAAATTAATTTGTCCTAAATCTTGTAAGATGGCACCTGGAACTATTGGCGCTGCACGTGACTTATTGTCAGTGAACACGACCACACATTATTTTCGGAATTCCTTTTAATATAAGATTTCAATGTAGCCAGATAAATAAAGAGCGTTGAAAGTTGAAAGTAATCAACTTTTAAAATATTTCTCATATTCAGCAAAAAAAAATTTTTAGTAGAAAATGAAAGTTTTTTAATATTGAAAAATAAAAATTAAGATCACATTTTATTTGGACTATATTTCAATCGTTATATGACCCGTTCTTAGCATTCTCACACACCGCGCCCTAAGTTGATGATAGAGATCTGAGAGTTTCACAACTTAATCTCCATTACTTGAAGGGAACATCCCTAAATTTTTATCAAAATTTTTTCAAAATGGCGGATTTTACGGGACATTTTGAAAAAATCAAACACTTCAATTATCTCGGCTCTTGTTGGTCGGAGAACAAAAATTCGGGTATGGTTGAACTCGTCTCATTAAATTCTACAACTTTGCTGTTGATCAAAAAATCATAGGTCAAAGGTCAAGGTCACTTCCGATGACCTTGTGTCATTCAAACTGGAATTTGAGCATCAAATGCAAACATTTTTGAAATTCTGAGATAGCCATTCGATTCCTCGTGAAATTTTACATAAAATATGTGAAAATGGCGAAGTGGTTTTTTCTCTTTAAATTTATATTAAAATAAAAAGATTAAAAAACGTGGTTTTTTGGTGCTCGGATCAGCGATTTTTAAGAAAAACGTAAATAACTCGTTTTCTGTGCGTCTGAGGCAAAAAATGATAATAATCAAAATTGATCCCCATTAAAAGTTCTATCTAAATATGTAAAGGCCATTGACCTTTTTAAAACTTGGGTCAAAGGTCACCTTGACCCTTGACCTTTAGTGAAAATACCCTAATGTGTGATACATGGTTGGAAAGGTCTTATCACTAGGATAACAATGGTCACCATATTTTTGTCTCTGGCTTCATTTTCCACATTAAGCTGATTATTTAATTTATAATGAAAGAAAATGCGCTTTTTTCATAATTAAACCATCATAACTAGGTGGAAAATGAAGCCAGAGACAAAAATATGGTGACCATTGTTATCCTAGTGACAAGCCTTTCCAACCATGTATCACACATTAGGGTATTTTCACTAAAGGTCAAGGGTCAAGGTGACCTTTGACCCAAGTTTTAAAAAGGTCAATGACCTTTACATATTTAGATAGAACTTTTAATGGGGATCAATTTTGATTATTATCATTTTTTGCCTCAGACGCACAGAAAACGAGTTATTTACGTTTTTCTTAAAAATCGCTGATCCGAGCACCAAAAAACCACGTTTTTTAATCTTTTTATTTTAATATAAATTTAAAGAGAAAAAACCACTTCGCCATTTTCACATATTTTATGTAAAATTTTACGAGGAATCGAATGGCTATCTCAGAATTTCAAAAATGTTTGCATTTGATGCTCAAATTCCAGTTTGAATGACACAAGGTCATCGGAAGTGACCTTGACCTTTGACCTATGATTTTTTGATCGACAGCAAAGTTGTAGAATTTAATGAGACGAGTTCAACCATACCCGGATTTTTGTTCTCCGACCAACAAGAGCCGAGATAATTGAAGTTTTTGATTTTTTCAAAATGTTTTTTTTTTTTTTTTTTTTTTTTTGCTTATGGCACCCGTGAGCTTATTAGGCTATTGGGTCGGTCTCTTGCCGAAGTCAAGTGATTTTTTCAAAATGTCCCGTAAAATCCGCCATTTTGAAAAAATTTTGATAAAAATTTAGGGATGTTCCCTTCAAGTAATGGAGATTAAGTTGTGAAACTCTCAGATCTCTATCATCAACTTTGGGCGCGGTGTGTGAGAATGCTAAGAACGGGTCGAATAGAAACAATAATTTTAAATCCAAAGGATTTTAATTTTATTCAAGTTTTATTGATTCTAATATTTTTTTTTCATTTTTATGAATCAGAAATTTATTGGCATTTTCTTCCTGTTAACGAACAATCCAATTTATCTCTCCATTGCCTTTCTTAGCCGAGCATAGATTGCATTTTTCCAGCAATAAACCCTTTTAAGATTTTCAAATTTTTAGGACACTTATTTTTAGGACACTTGAAATTTAGGACAAATGAAATGAAAAATATAGGACAATTTTTTTAGGACCTTTGACTTTAGGACGAATGACGAATTCAGTTTTAGGACAAATGATTTTAGGACAAATAACGGCGACTCGGTGCGCGCCTTTAATATTTTACTCTTGACTGGCTGCGGTGAAATTAATAACAAGCATTGCAAAGCCTTCTCCGCACTAAATGTAACAAATGGAGGTTTATAATTAGGTCACTTTCTAGATACAGAAAGTTTATCATCGCGTAATTTTCCATTGTTGTTTTTCCAACTTAAATTTTACGCACACATCCTAATAGACTCTTTCACGATTCTTCATTAAATTGCAATTATTTCTCACATTAATTTGGAAAATAATCAGCATTTTTTTTCGTATCAATTGGAGGAATCACAGCTTTTAAAATGAGGTTCACAGTCTTAATTTGTAAAAAAAAAAATTATACTGTTCAAGGAGCAATTAGGTCAAGTCATTAGACATGTATTATACTTCTCATGCATATAAATTGCAAATTATGTTTATTTCATAATAAATTAATAATTCTAAAGACATTTAATTTTTAAAAACATTTTTCCTTTTTCATACAGTTGATTACCTGTTTTATTCAAGCTTAAATTTTAACATTTTTGCGACTCTGCATTTCCGCCGCGCAATTAATCTTTATTTGCTTACTTCCCTCGTCAAGGAAAGTATTCTCCAGGTAAGGGTTGTCTCAAAAACAAGCAAATGCTGCCTCCGAGATTCGTCAGCCGACGCGTACCTTCGCACTCTTTGCACTGCGGCTGACTTGAGGCTCAACAGCCCCTTTTGACGCACCCCCTGGAGGAAAATTTTAAACTGTTGCTGCTCGTTTCGCGCGAGGCGAGCAAAGTGGAAACGTTCCGGAACAAACGCGGGGCAAACCCCAACGCGTTTCATTGTTGTTTCCTGGCCCGTACCAAACATTAACTCGTTTGGCCCCCGGTGGTCTCATTTCTGCATACGTAAAACGATGCACTCCAAAATGATGCTGACTGAGATGTTCGCAGCGCCTAATGGCTTCACACCCTGTGATGTTGACGAAATTCGCGAGACGAAGTCTGAGTGCTTTTCTTGCGATTTGGCTGCTCTGATGCATTTTAATTGAACCAAAAAAAAAAAAATAATAAAATAAATTGGGTGGCGCCTTCTGCACAACTAATAAAGGGCACAGGCCACGAAGACTTTCTCTTGGCCTGACCCTAAGAAAATAAAATAAATAAACTTACCACCTTAGCTACAAATCATTACTAGTAATAATATTGGGAAAACTTACTTAGACGGTGTGTTTCTGAAAATTTGAATGCTTACTAACCCAAATAAAGATAAATTTTTTATTTTTTTTTTTTGACAAGTAAAATATGATTGCCATTTGCAACTGAATATTATAAACAAATTTTTCTCAAAACCACTGGATGAAACAATTTCCAAATCAAATTTTTGCTGAAAAACAATCTCTCGTTCGTTTTCAGGAGTAACTCGCCAGGTGGGCGACGCCCTGCTGATGGAAAGGTCTCAGCGCAGCGGCCGGGTGGTCAGCATTGGCATTGCGCCGTGGGGCATCGTCGAGAACAACAGCGAGCTGGTCGGCAAGAACAGGGACGTCCCCTACCATTCCATCTCTTCCCCGAGGTGAGCACCATTTATTTTTTACTTCTTCCATGTCTTCCATTGCGTCGCGAGGAAAGCAAGAATAGTTTTTGTCTGCAGGGCTTTTTTTGTCTGTTTGACTCTTGAGCTCATTTTTCTTATTTGCACGCCGTTATCAACTCTTTCCTTTTTACTTTAAAAAGAAAATTAAAGGTCTTAATTATTAGAAAATTGAACATCTTGGCCAGTAAAATATTTATTTTCTAAATCACCAATCTTCAATATAATAATTTTTAAAACCAGGTGAAATATAAATTCAAATCCACTTTCCGTATTAAAAATTTCAGATAATTTTCCCTTCCAATTTGTTAGGATCTGAAGTCAGTCAGAGTGGTGCCTAAATGTTTGCGAAATTCACCTTAACTTCAATGGAAACGACCCCTTTTCTGAAAGTCATGCGCCACAAGTCAAAACGTCCTTTCTAATTTCAGCCAATTAAACGTAATTATGTCAGACAGCCGGGGAAACGAACCGCGAGAGCTTAGTCGCTTTTAGGAAGGACTCGTAAAAGTTGGTGGCAATTTTATGAATAATTAAAGCTGCTGCTGCTGCAACAGTTCGCCCGTGCTAAATTATGCCAACATAAATATAGGGAAATGCACGTAGAACAGCCCAACGGTCTTGGGCACGTTTTCCCTCACGCATGCCAAATGCTTTTCTTGCTCGAGTTGGATTTATTTTAGCAACCCAGCCGGCAAACAAACGGATATTCGACTCAGTCAGAGCAGATCAATCGCTGAGAGACTGCGTGTGTACCTGAAACGGAAAGGAGTCTTTTGAATTTTCATTCGAGGCATGAATATTTTTCTTGAAAGTTTACTCGCTTCGGAAAGTTCAAAGGTTGCTTTTAATTAAAGTCTTAAGCGAGACGTTGATAAGCCCAAGCTTACCTTATGTGGTTTTGTTTGGATAGGCAACCTGCTCGACAGACGAGAAACGCACGTTGCATAAAATTAATCTTGAAAATATCATTGACAAGTGAATGGCAACGTGCTTTGCAATGTAAGCAATTTAAAGTTGATGAACTGAAAATTTAGTATGCTCATTAATCATTTTGCAGATTTTTAGTTGCTACTAAAATGTGATATTCATTGTCGCTTTATTAAAAAAAAAATCAGAAATTTATTGAATACAGCATATATTCTCAATAAGGAATACTCGGATGATTAATTACAATTATGGAATACACTAATCCATACTCAACCCTGCCCTTCCTTTTATTTTGCGTGTGCTTATTATCATCATTTCACTTGAGTGGCCGTTTTTGCGCGCGATTGAAATCCTTTTGTCAATAGAAAAACACAATTGTGTTGTTGCAGTTTCTAACTTGCCCTTGGTCCAGCCAAGCAGATTCAGATAATATTTATTCCGTATAGATCCCAAACCGTCCCGATGAAATTAGAAAAGAAGCTTCACGTCGCTCATTGCGTGACTATTCGCTGCTCATTGGAGCTCATCAACTCAACTTCCGAGGTCATCCTGCCGCACCCTGTGCACCTGACTGCAAATCCAGCGCACTCCAGCTTCTGCAAAGATTTTGCTTCATAGTTCCAATTCATATTTTCTTGCGATTTCGACGCAATGGTTTAAAAAATTTTCAAACAATTATTCCTACGTTATACATATTAAAAAGTTTGCGATTTTTCAGAGTGAAGCAAAATGTTCTCATCCAAACAAAAGTCAAATATGGCCTTTCTGTAGACTTCACTGAAACTCATCAAAAACCCTTTCCTTCCGCCGCCATGTGTTCTCTCTAATTTGCTCAAACTTTTTATTGTTGTTTGCCAGAAAAAGTTTGTATTGCCCGCTTTACTCCGCACCACTGACCGACGCGAACCACCGCAAACTAACCAAACTAACCTTGCGTTTTTTTACTCTCGATTGCAGGTCCAAGTTTGCCGTGCTAAACAATCGGCACGCGTACTTCCTGCTCGTCGACAACGGCACCGCTGGTCGTTACGGCGCTGAAATCCACCTGCGGCGCCGCCTTGAGAAATACATCTCGGCGCAAAATCTGCACCCCTGTGAGTACCGCCACTTTTTTGTCTTATTAAATCGATTGCAGGCTGCGGTAGTAGTTAAGAGCAGCGAACACTCCTGCAGGTTTTTAGCCCTCAATTAAGTGCTGCCCGTCTCTTTTGGGACTAACAAGTGTAATGGCACGCTGCAAATTGGCTGCTTGAACGCTCTATTGTCTTGCCCATCGTTCCGATCCCCATGCTCGAAGCCGCTTTTTGTGTGTCCATGTAGTGTTGATTGCACGCTCAATCGTTATTTCCTCTGAATCGCACACCCCGCGTCCAATTTGTCCTTTTGCACACTGATTTACTCCCGGATGGTGTGCACGTAGTATACCCCTATACTCTTATTTATTTCTTTGTTTTACCTCTTTTCCTGTTTTATTAAATTAACTCTTGTTAATTCAGAATTTTCTGCTTGAAGGTCAGGAAATAAATAATATATCTTTAAGTTTATTCAAAAACATTTCATCGTCATTTCTTTCCCAAATAGCTTAACCAAAGAAAGAATAGAAAATGGAGTATATTAATGAAAAAAAAATTTATGTGTTTAATGTTAAACGTTAAATGTCATAAAAATTGTCTTTATTCAATAAAAATTTTCCGTCTTTCTCACTTCAATGTTAAAAATTTCTCTAAATGTTTTTACATGTTCAATTTGTCTTACAAATATCAATGTCAAAAAAATGGCAAAAAAATGTGTTTTGAAGTGGACGGTGTGACGTATTTTTTAACATTCATCATTCTCGTTCGTATTTCATAATCACGTAACATCAGCAAATGAGTTAAATCATCAAATTCTTATTTCTAATTTTGATTATTTTCATTCAATAGCGCGTAGATTTCTAACGTAGTGATTTTCTTTTCTTCCCATTATTCCAACCCATCTTGGTCCTCCTCAACATTCCTCTACCCTTGATGCACTTTGGTGTGTTCCTTCACCCTGGATGTGTGTGCAAATCGGCCTCAAACGCACTCTCAGCAAGACCCTCTTCTCCTCCTGACGAAGGCACCCACTGCAGCATCCCCGTCGTCTGCCTGGTCATCGAGGGCGGCACCAACACCATCAGAGCGGTGCTCGAGTACGTCACCGACGACCCACCAGTTCCTGTGGTTGTGTGTGATGGTTCTGGAAGGGCGGCAGATCTTCTCGCATTCACGCACAAGTAAAATTTCAACCGTTAATTTTCTTAGCTTAGTTTGATAGTTTACTCTACTAAAAAATAAAAATCTTATTTCAGTGTTTCGTCAAGTAAAGTGAACTTTTGAAATATTTATATTTCAAATATATATATATATATATATATATATATATATATATATATATATATATATATATATATATATATATATATATATATATATATATATATATATATATATATATATATATATATATATATATATATATATATATATATATATATATATATATATATATATATATATATATATATATATATATATAAATTTTGTGATAAACTTTCATTGAAATTAATTTGCGCAGTTAGTGTAATTTTCTTAAAAAAGGGAGAAATTATGAATGAAATATTTTTGAAGGACTTAGCTTGTACCTTTTTTGTTTATGCTTTCGTGTAATTTTTTTTGATAAATCGATTTGTTTTTATCATCTTTAATTCTTCACATATTAAGTCACACAAAAAAAAAAAAATGAGAATTAATTTCAATCCATTAAATTAAAACTTTTTGGGATACACTTAAAAAATATGGAAACAAACAATTATCGTGTGTGAAGAAAATAGGCTTTGTCCTCGTTGAAATGTAACAATTTGACAAATAAATAAATAAAAAAGAGGCATAATATATTGCCCATTTTCTTCACTCCACGAAAAAACCTCTTTATTCAATTGTCATCATTCTAAATTAAATAATACTACAGTACTTTTCAGTACAGACCAAGACGATATTATCACATATTATCACATTACACATTATTAACCGCTATATTTATTTGCAATTTCCTTTCAAAGTGGGGTTTGTGTGCCAAAAGTGTGCAAAAACCTTTCTCTTGTAGCAAAAGAATATACAGAATAAATATTATGGGGTTTGCTATTTTTTCATTTGATATCTGTATTATTTGAATGAAAATCACGATTTCAATCACTGCGATTCTAATTATTATCATGCATGTGGAAACATTTGTATGACGGGAGACTTCAATCTCCATAGGGAAGCGTCCCTATTCGTGCAGATTTGTGTAACAAAATTGATATTTCCCAGATACGCGTCGGAAACCGGGGAGCAGACTGTGCTGGAAAGCATGAAGGATTACCTGATTAGCATGATTCAGCGCACTTTTGACTCGGGAATAGAGCAGGCGGAGCAGCTTTACACAGAACTACTGCAGTGCACCAGAAAGAAAAACCTGGTACGTTTGAATTTTCAATTAGCTTTTTGCACATCGCATTCATTCGTGGCTCTTGTAAACGCATACATGCATGCGAAAGACGCATAATAAATTTTTCCGCTCCCCATTCAGACACGTGGAAGTGGAATTTAAAGCGTTTTACTGAGCAACGACTCGTTTAATGGTGTGTTCAAAACGTGAAAATTTTAAATTAACTTCATATAGAATAAAAAGAAATGAGGAAGATTTATGAAACTAATCTAAGGGAAATGTTTGAATTATCATCTTCATTCATTATTCTTTTTAACACACAATTTTAATTGAAAAATTAATCAAAATTAAGACATAAGTATGAATGGATTAAAATTCCTGATTTATTTAATTTTGCAAGAAAATTTACTTGTAGATCACCGTGTTCCGCATCACGGACAGACCAGATGAGAAAATGCAAGAACTGGACCAAACGATTCTGACAGCTCTGTTCAAAAGTCAGCACCTTTCACCCTCTGAGCAGCTGAGTTTAGCACTGACGTGGAACCGAGTTGACATTGCACGCTCGGAGATCTTTGTGTACGGCCAGGAGTGGCCTAGTGGTGCACTCGAGGAGGCCATGATGCAGGCTCTCGAGCATGACAGAATTGACTTTGTCAAATTGCTGCTCGAAAATGGCGTCAGCATGAAGAAGTTTCTCACCATTCCTAGGCTGGAAGAGCTGTATAATACAGTACGAGCCTCACCCTTGACCTCTGCTAATATACACATATTTAGTTAATTATTTTGAACTTGAAATAATTGTTTGGTTGTTTAAAAATCCATGTATTTTGCACAGTTTAGTTTTGTTAAAAGAAAGGATTTATTTTGCCGCACCTTAGCTAGATGTTAACCTAACTGAAAGTTTAACATTCCTTCTTTCAGAAGCAAGGACCAAGCAACACTTTGGGTTACATTTTAAGAGACTGCAGACCACACATACCTCGGGGTTATCAATACACCCTCCACGATATTGGCCTAGTCATTAACAAATTGATGGGAGGTGCTTATAGGTAGAAGAAGCAAATAAATTTTCACTAAGATTTCTAATTATTCATTGATCAATATCAGGACTGATTACACGAGGAGAAAGTTTCGTGTGATCTACGCCAAAGTTATGAAGCGCTCGCAACACGTTCACCGCAACAGCGCCTCGTTCATGCGCTACTACGGCAACGCCAATGTTACCCTGAGCTTACTTACTGATGTGATGCCCTTCAATGAAAAAGATATGCCTCCCATTTTTGACTATCCGTTCAACGAGCTGCTGGTCAGTTGCAAACTCAGCAAAGCATAAAATTTAATAAAAATGAGATCCCACCGTAGATTTGGGCTGTCCTGACTAAGCGGCAGCAAATGGCCCTCCTCATGTGGCAGCATGGGGAGGAGGCTTTAGCAAAGTCCCTTGTGGCCTGCAAATTGTACAAAGCCATGGCCCACGAGGCGGCCGAAGATGATCTCGAGACTGAAATTTATGAGGAGTTGCGCAATTATGGCAAAGAGTTTGAAAATATCTGTGAGGCCTGCAATAAATTGCATTTTTTATTATAACAACTTTTGCCTTTTCAGCTTTAGACTTGGTTGATTTCTGTTACCGGCAAGATGATGATCAAACCCAGCAGATGCTAACTTGTGAGCTGCAGAACTGGAGTGGCCAGACTTGTCTCAGTCTGGCAGTAGCTGCAAATCACAGGCCATTAATTGCCCATCCCTGCAGCCAAATTATCTTGGCTGATCTGTGGATGGGTGGCTTACGAACAAGAAAAAATACCAATATGAAGGCACAGAAAAATTTACATATATTGATGTTGAAGACTAATATTTGATAAATAGGTGTTTTTTGGTCTCATCTTCCCAGCATATATCAGTAGGTTAGAATTTAAGACAAAAGAGGAGCTGCAACACATGCCGCAGACCGAAGAGGAGCACAACACCACTAACAAAGACGAGAGTTTGACTGAGAAAAGCGCCGATCCCGAACTCAACAGGACTGACGGCCACGAAGTTGAGGTGAGGGTTTGATTTTTAAAAAAGGCAGCACGGTTGGGGAAATTTTGTAAATACGTTTCACATAGAGTTAACAAGTTTGCCTGTTGTGTAGTTCATTCGAGCACAATCAGTTGAGAAAAATTGCAACATTAATTGTCGGTGTAAAATTGTCATAATTAGTAGTCATCAGTATGGTGTATAATGGTGGTTGTAAATAATGTTGCTGACATTGGCGATGAGATTTATTATATTATTGCTTTGCATGAGGTAACAGACTAAACGCTTTGTTAGAGTGCTTTTGTATCTTTAACTACTTGAATCTGTTTTCATATTAGAAATGGCCAAGAATTTTAAGCATCAAGTCCTCAAAGACGTCAAATCCATTGGGGGTCAAGGTAAAATAAACCCTATCAAAATGCTCACTTTCCTGATTAATTTCATTGTATCTGCTTTTTGAATTCACGAAAAAAATCAAAATCAAATAATTTAAATGCTCTATTTAATGCTGCTATTGCTAAAATATAAAACTTGTTTCGTAAATTTACGCACTTCAGTAATTTTTGTTAACATTTTTCTCTTAAACTTTTGAATTGAACCTTTTCTACATTTTCTATTTCTATCTGCTTCCTGTTCATCCTGGAGCATCTAATAATTGTTGTGGCCAGTGGTAATGTGCATGGAGATATGATAGTGCTAACACTAAATTGCAGGTTCTTATCGCAAATAATGCAAATGTGCAGGAGAATGGCAAATTGAAGGACGAAGACAGTATCTGCAGCGAGCACTCTCCACCGCCGCTGGAGTTCTTTGACATAAAAACCCACAGACCACTTCGGCTCAGCAAAAAACTCGAGGAGTTCTACACGGCCCCAATCACCAAGTTTTGGGCCCACTCAGTAATTGAATCACATATAGAATATGATCTAAATAATTGTATTCAAATTATCATCTTACAGATTGCCTACACGGTTTTCCTAGTTTTCTACAGTTACGTAATTCTAGTTGAGATGCAAAGTGTTCCATCGTGGACTGAAATGTACATCATCACATACATCTGCACTTTTGGCTTAGAAAAAGTTAGAGAAATAGCTTCTTCCGAGCCTGTGGGCCTGCGGTAGGCCAATTAAATTTCAATTCATTTTTAATTTATCTCTACATTTTTGTTTGTATTATAGGCAAAAGTTAGCAGTTTGGTCGTGGAACCTTTGGAACCCGATGGATGCTGCAGTCATAACAATTTTCCTCATTGGTCTCATGCTCCGACTGCAATCGGAAACAATGATGGGTGGACGAGCCATTTACTGTGTCTGTGTTGTTTACTGGTACCTCAAGATCCTGACCTACGTAGGCGTCAACAAGTACCTCGGACCGCTTGTAACAATGATGGGCAAAATGGTCATCAACATGATCTACTTTGTGGTGTTATTACTTGTGGTGCTCATGTCGTTCGGAGTAGCTAGACAGGGCATCCTCTACCCACACAACGAGTCAGGCTGGCACCTTTTAAAAGATGTCGTTTTTCAACCTTATTTCATGTTGTATGGTGAAGTGAGTTTTGAAAAAAATTACAAATTCATTTGAAATAAAATTCATAAAATTATATATTAACAACTAAATTTAGGTGTTTGCTGATGACATTGACCCACCCTGTGGAGGAGAAGGCCAAATGGCCTGCGTAACTGCAAAGTGGATTTCTCCAATTATCATGTCCATCTACTTGTTGGTGGCAAACATCTTACTCATCAACCTGCTCATCGCAGTATTCAACAACATTTTCAACGAGGTCAACGCCAACTCACATCAAGTTTGGATGTTCCAAAGGTACAAACTTTTTAATTGAAAGAAGACATTATGAATAATATTTTTTAATCAAGGTTCACTGTTGTGATGGAGTATGAGCAAAAGCCTGTCTTGCCACCACCATTCATATTCATCAGTCACATCTACCTCTTGATTGAATTCTGTCGGAGGAAATATAAAGGTGAGGAAGACTCGTATGACAATGGGCTGAAGCTCTTTCTTGATGACGAGGATATGGAGAGACTCTACGATTTTGAGGAGGAGTGTGTAGAGGGATACTTCAGGGAAAAAGAGACAAAACTTCAGCTTTCGACTGACGAGAGAATTAAAACAACCACCGAAAGAGTGAGACAAATTTTATACAATTACATAATCAAAACATAAAAATTATTCAAAGGTGGAGAATATGTATCAAAAAATCGAGGACATCAACCAAAAAGAAAACAGTCAAAACACGTCGATCCAAAGTATGGAGTTTCGTTTGCGTAATTTGGAGAGTATGGGTGAAAAGACAGCGTCCCATTTGGCAGTAATCCACAGGTTCATGGCAACACACACAGGAAGCGACTTAATCATACCAGACGGAGACCCAAAGGGATCCGACGAGAAGTTTAAGAGAATAATTGAACTCCATCCAGAGCCCGTAGACACATTTAGTGACAAATTCCTGCACCCAAGCAGGGACTACTTGGTACGGCGCCGGCCAACGAGATCGATGACTGAAATCAGGCCAGACTCGTACCTCAGCGAGTCAGGCAGTGTTTTCTTCAGAAATACTGAGGAGTCCAGGAATGTCAGCGAGCCATTGAAAGAAGAGGATTCAGCTTCGCTTCACGTATTTTAAAATTGGTTTTAACAGAATCATTATTATTAATTAATAATTGTAGGAAGATGCTGACAAGCCCACGTTGTCCCGGTCGAGCAGCAGGAGAAGTCCGACCAGACTTTCTGCTGCTGGCAGACATGAAAGCACATCAATAGCCTCCCTTACCGAAGCTACTGACATGGATGGCAACATCTTGAGACATCAGCATTCAGACGACAGAGAGTCTCTGCCCATAGAACTGACAGTTCCTCAAATGGAATCCAGGATGCCAAGAGGAGACTCTTGGAGGAGAAGCAGCGGCACCGAGGAAGAAAGTGGAACTCTAACCACATCCCATCCAAGTCTGCCAAGACGGCAGCTCAGCCAGACGCAATCTGAACCAGACACAGAAATTCGGTAAAATTATTGTTTTTTTTCCTTATTCATATTTTCAGAAGATTAATATTTTTTATTAAAAAATTAAGACCTGGACCAAGCAGTAGGCCTCCAAGAGTGGAGAGGAGTATTTCGGTGGCTGCTAAGGTGACTTGGGCCGAGCCAAAAATTCAAGTTATTCCGCCCACACCTCGAGGGGCCATGCTAAGGGCCATGCACTCAGAATACACAAGCATCACAGACGAGCTGGAGTCTGTGTGTGGCCTACTTTCACCTCCCAGAACCCCTCGGCTGCTTAGTCCACCTCGACCGGAGGCAGCAACGGGAGCGTCTGCAAGGCCCCGGCATCACTTGGAAATCTGCAACCCGGAGATGGCCAAGCAGATGGAGAAGGAAACTCTCCGCGACGCTGAGGAGAACGACTATCTACTGATGGAGGGGCTCATTCAAAACAGGCTGCGGGGCGCTGCTGCTGGAATGTTCTCCACTGTGATTGACGACGAGGACGAAGAAGTGGAGACTTTGGCGCCCTTACCTAGAAGGTAAGATATTTGCGTTTTTACTATAACATTGAACTGTAAAATAGGAAAATAGAAAATGTTAATTACTTAAAAAAAGTCTAAATACTATTTTAGCTGAAGACACTTTTTATACAATGTAAATCAAAAAAAGATCATTACTTTATTTTGTACATGCAAGAATATTTTGATTTAGATACTTAGACGTGCAGAATAATTAAAATTTAGTAAGATGAAAGAAATTGACCACTTCATATTATAAATTATTATGTTTTATTGAAATTTATTATTTAAGAAAAATAAAGTCTGTATGTCAAAAGGAAATATCAACTATTATGATTTTTTTTAGAAATAAGTTAATATTATTCAAAACAACGTAAACACGACTCAATTCTACATTTAAAATTAAAAAAAAACCGCTCACACTAACAAATTTAACAACAAAAGATAAAATTAATTGATTGTGATTTATTTAAAAATATAATTTAAATTTTGCAAAAAAAATCCTAAAATTAAAATGTATAAATTGCCAAAAAAAATTGGCATTTTTCTGCTGAATCTTATATTTAGTATAGGATTCTCTTCTCTTAACTTTACCCAGGGAGTCGTCTCGAGGAGCATTCCAAAGCAGCGGTGGCTTCTCGAGCAACTTCCTGACGGTGAGCAATGAGATGCCGGAGTACCGGTGTCCTCGGCTGCGCCGGTCGAGCGCCGTAGACGAGCCGCACCTGCAAGTGTCCTACAGCGAGCCCGCCTACGGGCCCATGTGTCCGTCCATCTTCTGCACGGACACCGACGCGACGCGGCCGCACCGCCGCCAACCGGGCAGCCCCCGTGGTAGCCAAAACAGTCTGCTCAACGTAGTCACCGAGACCAAAATCTAAGAAGTAAAACGCAGGCAAGTGCGCGCGGAATGTGATTTATCAACACGGAAACAACTTAATAAAATTCCCCCTGGTCTTTCCCGCCGATAATTTTGCATTAAATGAGATAATACGGAGTAGTTGTGAAAAATTGAGCATCAATTAATTATAGTGTGTATGTGTGTTTTGCATTTTGCACTTATTATTGAGGCACACACACGTTCATTTTCTAAAATCAATTGACAAGAAAAGATAATTATCTCATTCGCCTGAGCACATAATCAATTTTAACACGTAATTAATTATATAAATAACATATAATATGAGAGCTGTGCAGTGTTTAATATCCCCGATATTTTGTCTCTTGGTTCATATTCTCAATTCGAATTAACCGGTGCCCCCGTTCACAGACGACTTTGCACAACTTCAAATCTGCTCTATTTTTCTATCTATGGCCACTTGCAACTAGCGCATAAGTCTATAATCTCATCTCTCGTCTTCTACACACACTGTGATCGATACATATATTTTAAACACCTGTTGCTAAGACCCTGCTCTCTCTCTCAAGTGAAAATTAAGTGGAGCTATAAAATCACGCGGCATTTATTAACAGATTGTTAAAAATATACTTGAATAGATGACCATTTTCTTGGTTGTAATCTTATAGACTGCACTTGTACTGGATAAGCCTTGGAGAACTTTTGTGTCTCCTCTGTGCTAATTAATATTTGACTTAATTATTTATAAGTTCCTTGGTTTTTCAGGGATTTTTCTATTTAATGGGAAAAAAGTTTAATTATTGTTGTCTCTATGGGCATATATTTTAATAACCTTACCCGGTTTGACAGTCTAGTTCTGAATAAAACCGAGTCTCGTCCCCGTTTTACTGTTCCTCTAATAATTTTAAAAGCAATAACCTTGCATTTGTTCACCAATTAGAGAGTAAGAAATAAATTGCCTATTTGGTTACCAAACCAGTTATAAAAAGTTTAACACTATTCATAATGTATAAAAGTAAGGAAACAGCGTGAAGTGGGAACAATTTAAAAACTTTGATCACCGTCTACTTTCTAAAAGAATTTATATTGCACGAAAAATTCGTTGGATTTAAAAGAAAATTGCGGAATTATGAATTTAAAATTGTAACTCTCTTATGCTTTATTAGAATTTGTTTGAAGAAGTGGACACTCGAGAAGATGATCATGGAAATGAAGAAAATCAGGCATGTCCTCGTTGCAAAATTTTTTTTTGCAAACTTTTTTGCAACGAGGACAAGCCCGATTTTCTTAATCTTTATTACGATTATTGAAATTTAATTGTTCCTAAATTTGCGACTTCTGATGGAAATTGCTGAAATTTTCCCAAATTTCTACTTTCATCAATTGGTGTTGCCCAATTATTAAAATATCTAGTTGGTTATGCTATGTAAGGATGTGACAATAAACCAAAGATATAAAACGACTGGATTTCAAACTAAACCAGTGAAATAAAATGCCTGAAAGCAATCTGTTCACATGTGAAAAAAACTGCGTGCGGAAAAAGAGTTTTGAAATTTTGCTGTCTCGCTTATTTGGCCTCTGAGTGTAATTTTCATATTTTGGATGAAAATAAAAAATTTCATTTTTCTGACCTTAGAAATAATGTGCATATCAAACACACACAAAAAAAAAACACTGGTTTTTCATTCATCAAGTAGTTTAAACCGTACCCAACTAGCTGAGCCCTGTCGAGGTCAACCTTGACCCTGGGCAGAGCGACGCGCGGGAGCACCTTTGGCGCTCAGGTATATTATACAGTTGCTCGGTCTGAATTCTTGCGCAAGGCTGTTTGAGCTCTTTGCTTTTTTCAGCGCGGCCGCCCCGCTCGCTCATCTCTCTCTATGCGGCACTTCCACTCTCGCCAGTTGGTGCCTGAAACTACGCTAAGAAGGACAGACAAAAAGGAAGAGAAGAAAAGTTAAAGCTAAGGGAAAGAATAGGTGTTGAGGGTTAAAAAGGAAAATGAGGAATCACCAAACAAAGGTAAGAATTCAAAGCCTTCATTAATTTAATACTAAAAATTTAAATCACCTCTATTTTAAATTACAACCAAAGTCTATAAATTTGTTTTGAAGCAGTTTTGAATTTTTTGTTAAATTTGCTTCATTAAAATTTCAATTTTGAATCAATTTGGCTTTTCACAACATTTTAATGCCATATTTGTACGCTCCAAATATCTTCTAGTTCAAATTAATTTAGTGACTCTAATTGCAATCAATGAGACAAATAATCTGGCTAATATCGAGGCCAACGCGTTTGCCTCTTTTTCGGCTGAACGCGCTTGTAGCAAAACAATTATTCCCCTGCTAATCAACCCATTACATTAGAATCAATCCGCACCAGAGCTGCTCTTCTTAAGCCTTTTGTTGTGCACTCCGGGCATCTTTTCGCTCGCGACCACTTTTTTGTGCCGAACACAATTGCAGCGGCGAGAGTCAATGGAGCGATTGATCGAGAGAATTTAACCCAGTGGACTCTTTACACAATTCTCCGCCTCAAAATTAATTCAAGCCAGACAAACCACCGATTTTTTTTTTGTCGCGAAAAAGGAGCCACGACAGTCGAGAGAGATGGGAAAAATTATAAATAATCAAGACGAATGCTCTGATAAGTCACGCGTGCTCAATTTTTATTTATACCAGCGACCTCAAATTTTATAATGATGGTCGATTTTACTCCAATTTTTCTCATGAACACGATTAGATAAAAAAGGAATAAAATTCTAACTGTTCCAAACGACTGTGGTCAATGAACAGTTTGAATGTGAACAAAACTTATTCAGCCGTTTTTAAAAGGCGGTAGAATAATAAGAGTAAAGACCGTGCATGCAATTTGCAGTTTTAGAAAGAAACGAAAAATGACTTTTAATAAACAAAAAAGAGCAAGCTGTTTTTTAATGTTGATTATTAATGCTTATTCTTCAAACTATAAATATGAAATAAAGAAACTCTGGCGAAGTTATCGGCCCCGAAAGGGAAGAACCCGAGTTTTCGGCCCTGGCGATTTAGCAGGCCTGTCTGTTACCGCAGGTGCCTTTCCCAAGAGGGATAAATAAATAAAAAAAAAAACAGCAAATTTTTTTATCGATCCACCACTATTCAATTCAATTTTATTGTTGTTCTGTTAGACAAGAATATTAACAGTAGTAAAGAACATGTCAGATAGTTTACATATTTGTTTTTTAAATTAATCAAATTAATGTGCCTTTGGTAAAAATAAAAAAAAATAGCAGCTCTTCTTATTTAATTACCTAAGCACTAACAAGTTAGCAATTTCATGTGTGAAAAATGTGCATCATTAGTTTAAAACGAGCCTGTAAGACAATAGTATTTTATCGTCAATTCACTCTTGGCGGAAGTGCACAATGTACTGAAGCTGAGGGCAAGCAAAAAAAGCACTCGTTTCAAAGCGTCAGGTAATTCCTGCTCGCGCGCGCTGCAATCTGGGTCAATATGACACACTCGGTGCTGTTACTATTTTATTATGATCATCTCATACATCGTGGCGGCGCCGCACGCGTGCTCGCTGCAGAGGTGTGGGCGGTGCTCCATTTCCTTGCATAACAACCTTAAAGGCCGTGAACCTGACAGTGAGAAATAAAACCTGAGAGATAATCACGACAATCTCAGATACCTTTTTCCAAAGCATCTTCCCACGACACACTAAATTGCTTACACTAGCCCCACATTTTAACATGACTTGTGCAATGAATAGTTCATATTTTATAGAGGTGAACATTAATTAATTAATTTAATTACATTCAGCTCTGAAATGTTGTTACTGTTAGATGCAGCTGCACTGGAAAATTACTCTAGTTGTAGCTACAATAAGCAGATATTAAATTCAAATAAATAGAATAAATTAAATTTTCTGTGTTAAACTGTGTTAATTGAATTGTATTAAATCAAATTAATTTTATAATTAACCCACTAATAAATTAAATAAAAAATTTAAAATTTATGGAGTTCCTTTATTCATTTGATGAGGGACGCGGGACGCATAATATTTATTTTAAAATAATTAATTTCCAGAAAATTCATGTCTCATGCAGCTAAAAAAACATTTATTATTATTTTATTAACTATTTTGAATCAACATATTATAATTTTTGTTTAAAGCTGTAAATTCTCAAAAGTGCATTTTTTTTTATCTGTGAAATTCCACTAAGCAGTGCATTCCGTCACGATTTTGTGGCATTTTTTGGACAAAAAAGCGGCGTTGCGTGCGCGAGGTGGGTGCCAAATTTTTGGGCAGGCGATGACTAAATAATTAGGCGGTGGTCACGTGGAAAGTGTTCCGTTATCGCACATGGCTTATTATGAGCAGTGTGTGTCCCATCCTCTCTCGCGGCTCCTCTCTGATCCCTAACGGGACTTGCCGGCCCCCGAGAGTGCTCATCGCATTTTAACCCGCGACTAAAAGTTACATTTTTGTGCTTACGCAACCAAATGTTTGCTGCGCAGAAATACTTGAATTTTATTTGTTTATTGAACTGGTCTTTTGCATCAATTATCGTTTGTACTTTGCGCCGTGCAGTGCAAAGTAAATCTCATTTTTCTCTCTTCTCTCCTGAAAAGTCTTGTATTGTATATTTTTTGCAGTCTCACGTTCACTAAGCCGTCAGTCACGACTTGTTCATTTTCATTTTTTCGCCGCTGAGAGAATTCGATTTCATTTTCTAGGAACCAAACGTTTCATGTTCTTTTATTATTATAATATTTATTCTGTATCCGTCAGTACAAAAATTTTAAATTGGGAAAAAAAGAGAAGAATGGGTTCAACTAGCAGATGTCTGCTGAAACGCCCAACATCAAACCCACATCTTTCTTCCTATTAATAATAAATAATAATAACTGAAATATTTTCCTAGACTCAATGTTATTGTGTAAATAAATATAGGAATACATAATTCAAATGAAAAAAAAAGCTATAGAGATAACAAATTTAAACCCAGTGACTTCAATGAGCGATAAGTCTATTTTGTTTGCGATTCTGAACAAGTCGTTATTCGGTGAGCTTAAAAAATTTTCTTTTGGGATAAACAAGCAGTCGATCGATGATGTTGACGTGCGTTGGCTCAATGTTTCACGCTTACGGTAAATTGCGCTCAAGTCATAACGCGCATACCAATATGGAGCACGCACGTTTATCACAAATCGGTGCGAGCAAACTTTGTCATCATGGTGGCAGTCAATTAGCGAGAAACAGGGAGCCAGCGACCCATGATCCTCAAAAAAGGTTTCAAATTGACTACATCGAGATGGAAAAACTGTAACTGTAAAAACCCATAATATATGTTGTGAACTCTGCATTAAATTGTCAATTTTTTTTATCTTATAACTGAAATCAATTAGAAAAAAATTGCAGACACCAGGTTGTAATTTCTTTCTATTTGTTTATTTTTTCAAGACAAATTTTAAATTTTGATCATCTCTGGCTATTTGTTTATTTACTTGGTTTTATAAATTTAAGCAATTGATCGTTCTTCTTACATGGATGACCATAGTTTTTTTTTTTAAATAATTTTCTTTCTATCAAATCCATTAATACATAGCTTTTTTTAAGATGTAGTCATTTATGCGTCGCAATTCGAAATTTATTTTGTAAATAAATAAATAAATAAAACAAAACACACAATTGAATTCCTATCATTTATGTATCATTTTTTTTTACGTTTTTCATTTCTCATTTTACAGTTGGCCGCATGCATGCTGGTTCTTGCGGTGGTCGTGGCCGCTGCGCAGCAGGGTCGCCGGCCGGGTCCCGAGCAGCTTCAGGAACCCCCTGAAGGGTACTACGCGTTCGAAGAGGCGCCAAACGCGGAGCCGCCCAAGGTGCGTCGGCCGCCTTACCTGCAGACAGACGTGCCCTGCGCAGGTGATCCCGACAAGATTCTTGGTCTAAATCATAAAATAAGACAATTTTATACAAATTTATCACCGCACGGTCATCTACCGGCGGCCTCGCACCAATTTACACTCAATTCACGCATATTCTTATCAATCGATGGGTTAGTTTGACAGCTGAAAATTTTTGGCAACAGGCGCCTACAGAAATTACCCTTGTACATAAGAATAAGTTTTTAAATTTTTGGGCAGCGTTTGTGTTGATATTTCTGAAAAAAGTGCCTTCAAATTGAATTATTGCATTTTTTTATTACGGTTTACTACATTACAAGACCAGCCAATTATTGAAGAAATTATTGATTATATTCTGAAAAAAATATTGGAAATTTTTTTAACAAAATTTTTGTACCATTTTATTTTTTTTTCACAGGACTAGCAAACGTTCAGCCTCACATGTCGATCAACAACTTGTGCGGTGACCTGAATAAAGGGTATATTCCCAAGAACCCGATACATCCCAACAAAAAAGGTCCCGCCTATCCATTGTGAGTTTTTTATTCTTACTTTTTACGCACAATAGTCAAACAAGCCCAAAATATCTAACGAGCCCAACAGGTGCGCGCGTCCTATACAATTAGTTTAGCCATTTCTTCTGTGTTGTGAGAGTGTCAAATTCTTGACAAAATATGCCATTGTTGTTTTGTTTAAGATATTATTCTATTCAAATGCTACTAATAATGAAATTATTCAAGCAAAGAAATAACAGGAATAAGCAAATTTGATTTAATTTATTATTATTATTATTGTTGTTTATTTGTCCACATTGTTACAAATACATTGTTTACATTCAATTTTTGAAAAACAATTATTTAGAAAAAGAGATTGTTGGACAAAAAGGCATCACCACTAGCAAAAATTTTGCTAAAACTTCCGAGATCAAAAAGACCCCATCCGCCGCAGTGAGTTTTTATATGTATAAAAAAAATTGATTTATTTTGTGATCGTTCATTACGGTAATATTTAATTTTAATAAAATAGTTTTAACTATGAAATTATATCTACATAATAGAAAAACCAATTTTGAGAGGCTTTTTGTTCACTTTTCATTCCTAATTCTTACAGACGCGTTGAACAGCTTAAAGTTTTGACCATCTGGGGCATCCTTCTGTGTAACGCAACAGTCTCTTTTAAATATATTCAAATTGGATTTCGCGTGTTTCTTCAGCCAGACAAGGAAGTCTCTTTCAGTCTGCACAAAATCCAGTTATAAATTATCATTGTCTCGCCGCGCGTCTCTCCAAACATATGCCGCCGTGACACGCGAGTGTGGCGCAATTCAAATTCTCAGCTCTCGTTCTTTCGCTTTCGAGAGACACAAGAAAATTCCTGGATCTCGATAAACAATCCGTCCATATATCATTTTGTTGTTCACTGTTTGAAAATTTTTGCTCCTCTTCCGAATGCATATAAATTAAATCTCAATTGCCAAACTCGTTTCACCAGACAATAGAGCAGAGAGGAAAAAGCGACTCTCTCTGCAAATAAACAAATTCCACTTGGTTTCGCTTTATGATAATTGGTTAAAAGTCAATAACCGAAGCAAAAAATTTTCCAGCGAGCTGATCAAATTGAAGACGCTGGATTTCTTCAGCAAAACGCTGCCCATCCTAAAAACAGACGACACTCTGCCGAAGGTGGCCAAATTCCAAGATCCACCAAAGTACTACCAAAGACCTAGCACGGGCAGACCACAATTGTAAAAGGAATTAAATCCATAAAAATTATTAAGTTTCAACTTATTTTACCGCAGATCTCCAGTTCCTCCTCAATTCAGACACAAGCGATCTGTGGATACCGACGACTCTGAGCAACACGATGGTCAAAATGTAACTTCTTCTGCCAGGCAAGCTAGGAAGTTCTGTGAGAATGGAGGTGGAATGTAAGCAAAACTATTTTTTATTTCAATCCGAAATTTATGATTAATCAGAATTCCTTATAATTTTTTACAATTATTTGAATAGGTTATGCATGCTGTACAAAGCCTTCAGAGGCGAGCCTTTGGCGTCAGGTCTGTTGGGCATTGAGAGCCGTCGTGACGATTTGGGTGGAGACGATCATCGTCGGGACACAAGCAGCAACAGTCTGCCTCAAGACAACGCGCCGCCCACACCTTGCCCTGCTAGGGTCGAGTACGCGACGCCCGTTTTTGCCAAAAATTACCAGGGCGTTTGGCGCTATGTGGTGCAAATTCCCTACGAGGGCTACTTTACACAGACCGTCGAGGTCACCCGATGCCTGTGAGTTAATTTGAGCTATTTATAATCTAAAACCATTGATACTTAAAGAAAAGAAAAATTAATTTTGTTTTTTGGTAAACTTATCTACCCACTTTAATTTTCTTGCATTATTTTTCAGCAACTCAAAGTGCCACTACCTGGAAGGATCGTGCATGTCCTCTCCACGCTGGGTTAGCATGTTGGTGGCAGAGCTTTACTACCCAGACTCCTACTTTCCCAACAAAGGACAACAGTGGCCTGCACGGCGACCTGTGGCCAACGAGAAGCCACCACCAGTGGCTGATTTCCAAAACTACCAGCAGTATCTGCAGAAACGAGCTGGAGAGGTCGAGTCGAGGATCATAGCAGGCGGCCCGATGGTGGACGAAAGAAACGAGAATGTGCAAAATTCAACAGACTCCAGCACCACGGAATCGACAACCGGCCAGGAAAGTGGAACTTATTGTGACGGTGTTGACGAGCTTGGATGCTACCAGGTAATTTGAATAGGATTGGTTTTTTTTCTTATTAAAATTAAAAATCAACTACACAAATATATAAAAATTCAAATAATTTCCCAGGTGAGGCTTTACTACGATTGGTTCCTTGTGCCAGGCAGTTGCAAGTGCTGGAGGCCCGACTTCTTCAACCGCTACACTCGTAGGAGAGTGTCCAAGTCTTCTAAGGACCTCTAAAATGGAATTCGAAAGGACTGAAAACCCCTCTATCTCTTCCTGACAATAGAAAAAAATGCAACCGTGCCAACTTTTCTTTGTAACGGCAGGGCTACTGTTTAAAAATTACATTTTGCTCTCAAACTTCAGGGAAATTTGATGTTAAATCAAACAAACTTTTCTGTACAACTAGGTGGTGGTTTTGTTGGGAAAATAAAATTTTTCACAAGCTGGGTGAAAAAAATGCTTCAAGTTGAGGATAGGAGCCTGACAAGACTAAAATGATACTCTACGTTTTTAAGATCTTCAAATTTTATTTTTTAAGTTATTTATATTTGTGCTTGTTAGCGACGTTAGCATTGCATTTTAGCATAAAAAAAACAAATAAATTATTAATTTGATAAGCGCAATTAATTTAGTCTTTTTGTGCTTAAAAGTAGCCCTCTGCGATAACAACATTTTTTAAAGGAATGATTGCAAGAAAACATTATTTATGTCTTACTGTTCCAAACCTTTACCAGTGCCAGTCCATCTTTCAGTCAGCTGCACCTTGAGGCCCAGGTCTCTTAGGGCGTCTTTGATGTTTTCCTCAACAGCCACTCCATGGGTCTGAACTGAGAGATTCAGGAGATCTTCGATGTTTAAGTCCACAAATTCCTTGCACAGTTCTCGATTCCTTGAAACGATGTTTCTCACAGCCAGGGCACAATTTCTCTGCATTTAAAATATTTTAATTTTAGTTTAATGCAATGGAATAAGGATGTGAAAAATTAGAAATACAAAATAATTAAGAGCATAGTATTTGTCAAAACTTTTATAAATTTATAATTCTAATTTATGGCATATTTGAATAAAAATAGTGATTTTTTTTACCTGAATTTCAACGTTCTGCAAGTGCTCTTTCATGCCTTGGGTGATGAGTTCAGCCACTCCGAAGTTGCACAAAACCTCGCTGTTTGCAGGGCTGCGCAGAGATATTGCAGCAATTGCAAGAACTCCAATCAAGAACAACTGCTGACTTGACTAAAACTTGCCGAAATAAAAACAAAAATATTTTCAACAACCAAATTCACCTGGTGTCTACCAATTGCAGAAATAAGTAAGGGAATGGCATCGGCTTGGACAATTTTTGCCTTGACTGCGTCACTGCCAGCAAGAGCTTTCAACAACTTTATTGCTTGGCGGTTGATTTTCTAAAAATTTGAAAACAGTAAATAGACAAAAAAGGACATACTCTATTCATCCCACTTCATCGTCCATGTAGGTGATCATCATTTCTAGCAAAAAGGTCAAACCTCCGCACTCTTCGACTTCTCGGCAGAATTCCTCTCGCACAACCAAGGCACCTAAGGTCTGAAGCAGCTCATTGACAGTCTCGATGTCTCCTTTGTGAGCTAAAATTTTAATTTTAAATTGTTACATTTTGCAGTGGAATAAATTATAAAATTTACTGTGGAGCAACTGAGAAATGCTCTTGAGTGCATTAAAGTCTGATGCAATTATTCTGGCATGTTCGTGAGCTTTTCCGAAAGGCACTCGAATGTCATCATCCAAAATAAGAGACCTGAGGACTGCGCAGATGTGCCGGGCAACAATGGAAGAGCAAGAGGTGAGCTCTTCAGTCAGAAGAGGAGCAATTTCAAACTCAAAAAGCAGCTGCCTGTTCTGCTCATGCCGAAGACAACACTGACGAGCCCATTTCAGAGCTTGGACTTTCACTGCCTCATTCTCAGACTGAAATTAATTCTTCTACATTTTCCATGGTTAAATTTTAATTTCAGAACCCACCTTTATCAAGTTCAGGATGCTTTGGACTCCTCTCTCAGTAAGGAGGTCTGGCTGTCCAGTCATCAGAGAAGTGACAGCGGCTAAGACTAAAAGGGATATCGAGTCATCCTCCTGATGCTTCTCCAGTAGGTCTAGCAGCAGCTGGTACGTTCCAGCCTTGCCTGCCATCACCTTGTGGGCGATATCAATGTCACACTCCGCCTTCAGTCCCTGTAAACTGTCCTTCAGTTTCGGAATGTCCACCTCGTCGCCAGTTGTTGCTTCGTTCATGGTTTTCAAATTGTTTATGAGGTTGACGATTTTATGCTCCTCAGAGGCGTCAGGCAAACTTGTCACAATATTCGTCAGATCAACTCCCTGAGAAATATTTTGACTGTAAGCAATTAAAAAAAAGACTTAAAAAAACATCAGACTTGTGCTTTAAATTGTTTGATGGCATCTTCAACAGCCTCCTCAGGGCTCAGGTCCAGATCTTCGATATTCTCTTTGACGACGCTGTCGAACGTTTCTTGATTAATGACGCGAACCATTTTAATGTTGGTTTTGATCTTCAAATATATTTGCAGCGGAGAAATTGTTTTCGAAGGTACCATTTATGTATTCTGGAACGATTTTGAACTTGCCGCCACGTGAGAATCGCGTACGCTTCTCCGCCATGATGCTTATGCAAAACTTCGCAACTTGGGTAGCGGCTGCAGCGCTAGGCTCCGCCCAGCACTTCTCCCACTTCTACCGCTGCTGTCGGCGGCGCGCATAGCCGCAAATCTTGGCAGCAGCAAGCAAAAGAAAACTGAAGTACAGAAAAAGTATTGATATTTGCCGATGTTTGATCAATTGCCGATATAAGAATAAATTAATTTTTAAATTTAATTTCCTCTTTGTACTTTTTCATATCATTAAAATTTTTATTTTATATTAATTAAATCTTTCAAGGTTGAATTAAATGAATGAATTAAAAAATATTCTTTTATTTTAGTAATAAAGCAACAAAAAATTTTATTGTCTTGCAGTTTATAAACTCTCTCAAAAAATTATAACAACAGTTGGACATAATTTTAAAATTGTGCAAAATTTATACAATATATTGATTTCTTTTAATAATTAATAAATATCAGTAAATAATTTTATTATACAATAATTATGTAATATAAAAATAATATAATATTTAATCACCATAATATATATTACATATAATTTACTGTTTAACTTTTAGTCTGCTCACTTCTTCATAACTGGAGGGTGTTCTTGTTGGGGTTGTCCAGACCGGTGCACGACACGGATCACTCGTTGCTGGCCGTCTACAGTTTGAATCAGGAGAGGACTAGATCCGACTGATGTGGTGCGAGGACGAATGGTGACTAGTGGCTGCGGGCTTGGTGTGGCCGAGGGTCGAATTGGAGGACGGCTCAGAGGTGATGAGCTGCTCGGTGGGGTAGAGAAGGATTGTGTTCGAGGGCGGCTGCCTGGGTAAACAAATACGATCCGACTAGTCGAGGGGCTGTTTGGGCCAGTGTTGTTTGGGCTTGGGGCGCTGCTGCCACTGACTGTGTTTGATCGAGGACGGATCTGGGGGCTGAAAGACAGTTAATAAATTAATTTAATTTTCACATTATTTCTACCTTTTGCTTTCGATGACTAGGCGCTTGCCATAGGTTTTGGGGGTTGATTGGAAGCAGCTACTTTTTTCAATCGGTTGTGGGTCTTACATGGAATCATCCAGAGGCTCTGATTGGACCGTTGTCAAAATTAATTTTTAGACCCTTAGGGAATCTTGGGTGACCTGGTCTCTGAAAAATTAAATTTTTTATGAGCTTGTGATTAATTTAAAGTTGATAAACTTACAAGGAGCTCTTTCTCGCCAGAATAAATGATCCCAGTCACTTCTAATTTGGCATTGAGTTTCACCTCCACATCAAAATTGAGTTTCAGTCGAATTTCCGTTAAGCACTTCGGCAGTTCTGATATGCAGTGCTCTGGGCAGTCGTCCTTCTATAGAAGTAATTCATTAAAATTAAAAAAGTATAAGAAAATGATTTTTTTCTTTACGTTCGTTTTTTTATCAGCTTTCTTCTGCTCCTTTGATTGAGCAAAAGTGATAATGATCTCTCGAGAAAGCACTGAAAAAAGGATTATAAAGACAGGTCTTTTCAACTTTTTGGTGTGGGTGAAAATGGCGAGCAAAAATTATTTGAGTCAACAATGGAAAATGTTTCGATTGGCGTACCACAAGGAACAGTATTGGGCCCTTTTGGCTATTCCTCCTACGGTAATGATATGCCCTTAAAAATCATTGTCGCCGCTCTTATCTTGTTCGCAGATGATTCATCTTTTATTGTAAAGGCTAGAAACTACAAAGCCTTGAACGAAAAAACTGCTGTGGCTAATGACAAAATGATTGATTTTGCCAGTAATAACCGCTTAAGATTGAACGAAAAGAAAACTCAGGTGCTGCAAATGCATACTGCTCAAACTAGTAAATTGGAACCGCCTGTAATCAGAATTAACGACGCTGAAATTGAAGTGGTAAATCAAGCAAAAATACTTGGTGTAATGCTCTCTGATACAATGAACTGGAGCACCCAATGCGATCAGGTTGTAGCGAAACTGAGAAGTACCACGTACCTTTTTGTTAAATTAAGGCAGCGCATTCAAACTAAATTGCTAAGAGATGTATATTTCGCCCATGTTCAAAGTCACTTACTATACTCAATTGTAATTTGGGGTGGGTCGCCTATGTTGGAAAAGGTTTTCATTGCTCAAAAGAGAGTTATCCGTGCGATGGCAGGTAAAAGATACTGGAAGGCATTGACACCTGTCGAGTCTTGCCGACCACTTTTTGAAGAATTTCAGATCCTGCCAGCTTTCTCTGTGTATGCCTTTGAATGTGTTAAATTTTACAAAAAGTATCCTGAATTGTTCCTCAAAAATTCTGAAAGCAAGGTGCACCAGAATCGCAGTACTCGAAATAAACCTATAGCGGAGCAAGACTTATTTGTCAAACCAAACAGACTGTTGCTGACTGCGCAGTCCCCTCACATCATGATCCCTAGAATTTTCAATCATCTTCACGATAGAATCAAAAACATTGATAGTTATCAAGTGTTTAAGAAGGAATTGGAATTAATATTCTACGACAAAATGTTCTATGACGTGCATGAATATTTTTTGTGTAAAATTGTGTGAACTGTATTTTAAATGTATTTTAAATTTAGTAAGCTGTATTATAGTTATATTGAGATATAGCTGTATTACAGTGACCTATTCCAAAGATTATTTCTGTACATATGTTGATCTATACGGAATAAATATTATCTGAATCTGAATTTACATATATCAGATTCAGAGTATTTTTTCACTTACCATCAATATTAATCTGGTAATCACTGTTGGCTTCTGCCTGAGTCATGGCGGAGATGGTCACGTTAGCCTTAACTAGGAGCAGGCACAGGATCAGTCACATGCTGAACAGGAATTGCACTAACATGTCTTGCATGCTCATGCTTTTAACAGCTTCTTTGAACTTCCGATTTGTAGCCATGGCTATGTACAATTCTTGGCCTGAATCGTTAAGAAATTAAAAAAATTATGAGGGTTAGTTTGCTATGATACCGAGAATATTTAACGCATTACCAAAAAATATTAATGTGGTAGGAATACTAGATGAGCTTGTAATAATAATTTGTGAAAAAAGCTAAACCTAGGGATTTTGTTGTTGTTGTTGTTTTGGGGGAGAGATTAGGGATAGAGAAGACATGGGACTACCACGCCCCCTTTCTCGGACCAATCAGCGACGACAAGACAAATGACTGACGTCAGCGATTGGTGAAAACAAGGAGGGTGCAAGCTCCTTGGCACTCCTTGGCGCTCCTTGGGTGTACTGTCTGTTTAGTGTTGAACTTGTCAATTGAAAATTTCCGCGCTTGGTGGGACTTCTCGGTCATCAGAATCGGATTTTGCAAAAAATTAGCACAATTCTGCAATTTTCAGCACCGATCTTGCGTGCGGATCAATTTTATAGAGCATTTGTTTTTATTCGTAAAGCATACGTCGTGCTATGCTCGTTGGTAAACCGATTTTTTGTTAAAAATTTGGTGCTCTTATGGTACGTGCCAAATAGGAGCAGCGATGGCGGTCCTTCAGTTGGTACCTCTGTAGGACTAAACGCGAAGTTTAACGAAGCGATCCGAACCCTCGCGGTCCGTGAGATAAATGGGAGGAGCCTATTCACCACTTTTCCCAACAATCTTAATTTGGGGGCTGCAAGAAAGAATCAGGGCTTTGGGATGGGTTCAGAATGGGAAAGACGTTATTTTCCGGGAAATTGCATTATGGTACGGGGAAAAATTGCATTATGGTACGCGCAAAAATAACAGTATGGTACGCGCAAAAACAACGTTATTGAACGCACAAAATTTATATTATGGTACGCGCAAAAATTATACTAGGGTACGCGCAAAAATAACGTTATGGTACGTGCAAAAATTATGTTATGGTACGCGCAAAAATTATATTATGGTACGTGCAAAAATTATGTTATGGTACGCGCAAAAATTATATTATGGTACGTGCAAAAATTATATTATGGTATGCGCAAAAGTAGCGTTATGATACGCGTAAAAAAAAGAAATGGTGAAATGTAAATTTATCATTAAAAAAAAGAGAAAAAATTGGGATTTGATGAATGGAAGTAATATAAAATAGCACATTTTTTTATAATTTATATCAAGTCCTAAAAAAATTATGTAATTAACATATTTATATTTCATCTGAAAACCCCTGAAAAAAGTATTTGATGAAAACAAGTAAAATTATTAGTAAAAAATTATTATCGTCTGTTCAAAATTCCCTCTGCAGACAATTTCTTCTGTAGGCAACTCTCCCATGTGCGTTTGCGAGCTCCGCTCGCACCCCCCTGCAAAAATTAATCTTGGAGGTTGCCCAACTCCGAGTTGCCGGTTCGTGGGGTGCCCCCAGTCCCATGTGCGTTTGCGAGCTCCGCTCGCACCCCCCTGCAAAAATTAATCTTGGAGGTTGCCCAACTCCGAGTTGCCGGTTCGTGGGGTGCCCCCAGTCCCATGTGCGTTTGCGAGCTCCGCTCGCACCCCCCTGCAAAAATTAATCTTGGAGGTTGCCCAACTCCGAGTTGCCGGTTCGTGGGGTGCCCCCAGTCCCATGTGCGTTTGCGAGCTCCGCTCGCACCCCCCTGCAAAAATTAATCTTGGAGGTTGACCAACTCCGAGTTGCCGGTTCGTGGGGTGGCCCAAGTCCCATGTGCGTTTGCGAGCTTCGCTCGCACCCCCCTGCAAAAATTAATCTTGGAGGTTGCCCAACTCCGAGTTGCCGGTTCGTGGGGTGCCCCAAATCCCCTCGTGTGCAAAGGGAATGGAAAAGTGTTTATGTGAACAATAAAGAGTTAACAAATATTGAATTTTTTTTTATAAATTTAACTAAAAAATTAGTAATTAAAAATAATTAACCAAAATGTAAAAATTTATTAATATAATTTTATCGAAAAAAATATTTTTCTTACGAAAGTTATATTTAAACAATATTTTCAATATTTGTTTACTCTTTATTGTTCACATTGCAATACGAAAATCATTCTATAATTTTTACAATATCAGATTTTATTTCAATTCCTTGCACGCGAGGAGACTTTGCACACTAGGGGATTGGGGCACCCCACGAACCGGCAACTCGGAGCTGGGCAACCTCCAAGATTAATTTTTGCAGGGGGGTGCGAGCGAAGCTCGCAAACGCACATGGGACTTGGGCCACCCCACGAACCGGCAACTCGGAGTTGGGGCAACCTCCAAGATTAATTTTTGCAGGGAGGTGCGAGCGAAGCTCGCAAACGCACATGGGACTGGGGGCACCCCACGAACCGGCAACTCGGAGTTGGGCAACCTCCAAGATTAATTTTTGCAGGGAGGTGCGAGCGAAGCTCGCAAACGCACAAGGGACTGGGGGCACCCCACGAACCGGCAACTCGGAGTTGGGCAACCTCCAAGATTAATTTTTGCAGGGAGGTGCGAGCGAAGCTCGCAAACGCACATGGGAGAGTTGCCTACAGAAGAACTTGTCTGCAGAGGGAATTTTTGAACAGACGATAATAATTTTTTACTAATAATTTTACTTGTTTTCATCAAATACTAGAGGTGTTTTCAGATTAAATATGTTAATTACATTAATTATGAATTGATATAAATTATAAAAAAAATCCCAATTTTTTCTTTTTTTTTTAATGATAAATTTACATTTGACCATTTCTTTTTTTTACGCGTATCATTTTTTGCACGTACCATAATATAATTTTTTGCGCGTATCATAATATAATTTTTGCACGTATCATAATATAATTTTTGCGCGTACCATAACGTTATTTTTGCGCGTACCCTAATATAATTTTTGCACGTACCATAATATAATTTTTGCACGTATCATAATATAATTTTTGCGCGTATCATAACGTTATTTTTGCGCGTACCCTAATATAATTTTTGCACGTACCATAATATAATTTTTGCACGTATCATAATATAATTTTTGCGCGTACCATAACGTTATTTTTGCGCGTACCCTAGTATAATTTTTGCACGTACCATAATATAATTTTGCGCGTACTTTAACGCTATTTTTGCGCGTACCATAATGTAATTCTTTCGCTTTCCATAACGTTTTGCGCGAACCATAATTTTAATTTTTGTGCGTACCGTAATGCAATTTTTCCCCGTACCATAATGCAATTTCCCGGAAAATGTCGTCTTTCCCATTCTGAACCCATCCCAAAGCCCTGATTCTTTCTTGCAGCCCCCAAATTAAGATTGTTGGTTAAAGTGGTGAATAGGCTCCTCCCATTTATCTCACGGTCCGCGAGTGCTTTGCGGTTAGTCCTACACGGTGTACCAACCGAAGGTCCGCCATCGCTGCTCCTATTTGGCACGTACCATAAGAGCACCAAAAATTTGCCGGTACAAACATACTGAAACATACCTATTAAGCAGTCCAAGATGTCTGACGTCTGACGCCGATGTGCGAGGATGAAGAAGATTATGGGCTGGTAAAACTTTGTTTGTCATATTTTCGTTTAAAATTTTGTATGCGTTCACTGGAAATGAACATCAAACCAGTTGACCCCTTGTCTAAAATATCAAAATTTAGGAATGTCAGTTTTAGATTTTTCTAAAAACATGCAGGGTCTTTCCTTATGTATGTAGTCGCTTCTGGGTGTCTGTACTGTTTGTAGGTGTATGTTCATTTAAATTTACAATTAATTCTAGTATACTTCTCAAGTTCTCATCAATCATCTTTGTTATTTATTCTTCTCGGACAATACTCAATTTATAAAAAAAAAACACACATTAACCTAATTTTCAGTAGTATATATGTATGCAGTAAAATTTAATGAAGTTATTCAATTTAATTTCAATTCAATAAATTTTTATTCCATTTGAGATCAAATATTAACAAAGATCTGAAGTCTTGATAAAATGAAAACTTAACATTTACATTCTATAAACATTCTAATTTACGCAACAGACATACTCATGGATATCATTAAACAATTTATCGTTAAATAATTTCTTTGCTTCACTATGTAATAAAAATCTTTAATTTGCTTTCAGTCTTTCCGGAAGCATAAAGATTTTTTAAATCAGAATTTAGGGTTTTGTGTTGTTAAATTTAGCCATACAGGTACAGATCTTCCATGGAAACAGAGTTATGTATTCTGTAAAATTATGATTTTCACATGTGTTACTTTCCGATTTTTTTACAAGTGAGCTTTTAAGTAAAAGATTAACTAATTATTGAAATTTTAGGAATATTCTGAAGATAGCAACTCTGAGCCGGACGTTGATTTGGAAAATCAGTACTACAACTCTAAATCTCTGAAAGAGGATGACCCCAATGCTGCCCTGGCCTCATTTCAAAAGGGTTTTGGATTTAGAAGGTGGCGAGAAAGGAGAATGGGGTTTCAAAGCACTCAAGCAGATGATCAAAATCAACTTAAAATTGGTACATCCGATGAAAAAAAAAAAATTAAATGAGACAATATTTTAATTTATAAATTTTCCATTCAGAGTAATTATAAGGAGATGATGGTCAGATATAAGCAATTGCTTACCTACATTAAGAGTGCAGTCACAAGGAACCACAGCGAGAAGTCTATCAATTCAATACATCTCCACCTCTAAAAATGTAATACAAAAATTTAAAAATTCCGGTAAATTGTATCATGCTCATTTAGTTTGATTTCCAGATGGAACTTCTCCAAGACTTTTATGAAACTACTCTAGATGCGTTGAAAGATGCCAAGAATGATAGATTATGGTTCAAAACAAACACGAAGTTGGGGAAATTGTATTTTGATAGAGAGGACTACACAAAGCTTGCCAAAATTCTAAAGCAACTTCACCAATCATGCCAGACTGATGACGGAGAGGATGACTTAAAGAAGGGCACCCAGTTGTTAGAAATTTACGCCCTTGAGATTCAGATGTACACAGCTCAGAAGAACAACAAAAAGCTCAAAACACTATACGAGCAGTCATTGCACATTAAGTCGGCCATCCCCCACTCTTTATCATGGGCGTCATTAGAGGTTTGCATTGTTCATAACAGGAAATTTTAGTAATTTATAACCATCTTCTTCCAGAATGTGGGGGTAAAATGCATCTGAGAAAGGGCGAGTTTGAAAAAGCCCATACAGATTTCTTCGAGGCGTTCAAAAATTACGACGAGTCAGGCAGTCCAAGACGTACCACATGCCTCAAATAACTAGTACT